GCATAAAAGTTACTGGAGGGAAACTGCAAAATAAGGATCGGCTGGGTCAATTGCCGAATGAGAACAACGAAGAGACCCATGCAATGCTTTAAATGCTGGCACTTTGGGCACTTCGGATCACAGTGCAAAAACGATGTCGACCGGTCTAAGCACTGCATAAGGTGCGGAAAAGAAGGACACAAAATTGCTGATTGTAAAAATCCAGCTAAATGTGCACTGTGCGTTGAACAGCACGGCGTAGAAAAGGCGGCTCACCATGCAGGCACGAACAGATGCCCCGTCTTCCAAGAAGCGCTCCAGAAGATAACGAAGCCAAGAACAAGAAGATATTGCAGCTCAACCTCAATCATTGTGAGGCTGCGCATGACCTGCTCATGCAAACTGTGCGCGAATTAGAGGCAGACGTAGCACTTATAAGTGAGCCTTATAGACACCTGAGTAACCAACCCTGGGAATCTGACAGCACTAACAAAGCCGTCATCTGGTCCTGCGGTAAATGTCCTTTTCAAAGAATAGTCAGCAATAAAGAAGCCGGCTTCGTAGCAGCATGGGTAGATGGCCTTCGCTTCTACAGTTGCTATGCACCACCTAGTCTCTCTAATGAACAGTTTGAAGACTTAAAGAGAAAGATCCATGGGGCAGACCGTATAAGGTGGTTATGACCCACCTGAAATGCCAACCAATGCCATCACCTACGTGTCCACAGCTCCTAGAGAAGATTGTTACTGCGCTGTTTCCCCAACAACCGGTATTTACCGACAAGTTGGAACAGCTCAACCCTGAAGACATCCCAACTATCACGTTGGACGAGTTGATAGAGACAGGCAATCGAGTAGGGAATAATAAGGCGCCGGGATTGGACGGAATCCCTAACATTGCCCTGAAATCAATCCTTAGGGCAGCACCGACATTATTCCTGGACGTTTACGATACATGTCTGAAGGAAGGGACTTTTCCCCAGAAGTGGAAACAGCAACAGCTAGTGCTACTTCCGAAGGGAAAAAAGCCGCCGGAAGAACCGTCATCCTACCGACCACTCTGCATGTTAGAAACGCCCGACAAGATATTCGAGCGCATAATTTACTAGAGAATAGAGGCTGTAGTCGATCCACTCCTGGCAGAGAACCAGTTTGGTTTCCGAAAAGGACGGTCAACCCTGGATGCGATCAAATTGGTTGTTGATATAGCCAATGATGCAATCGCCGGAACAAGATGGAAGGGTGGAAAGAAGAAATACTTCTTGGTGGCTGCTTTGGACATCAAGAATGCCTTAAACTCCGCTAACTGGGACTACGTTATGCGGGCTCTAGAGGAAAAAAACGTACCAGGATACCTTCGCAGAATAGTAGCGAGCTACTTCACGAATAGGGTCCTGAAATATAACACGAAGAACGGTACGGAAGTGTACGAAATCTCCGGAAGAGTGCCACAGGGATCAGTCTTAGGTCCCCTGCTATGGAACATCATGTATGATGGCCTTCTGAGAATAGCATTGCCTACGGGAGTCAAACTTGTAGCATATGCAGATGACATAGCTGTCGTGATCGTCGCAAAGCACCTCGAAGAGATAGAAATGGCATTTGATATTACATTCAGACGAGTCAATTTGTGGATGGACATGATGAACTTGCAACTAGCCAAACATAAAACCGAGACAGTGCTCATCACCAGTAGAAAAATGGTAGAAACTATCAAGTTGAGAGTCGGAGAACAAGAAATCACATCACAACCATTTATCCGTTATCTGGGAGTGATACTGGATGCCCGACTCAACTTCAAGCAGCAGATGGAACACGTCAGTGCCAAAGCGTCAGTAGTGAGGACTAGTCTCGCACGACTGATGCCGAACGTTGGAGGCCCAAAGGAGAGCAGGAGACAACTACTATCATCAGTTGTCACATCGGTGCTCACATATGGAATATCTATTTGGGCAGACGCGCTGAAGTTGCAAGAATCATGGAGAAAAGCAGGACCAGTATATAGACTGAGCGCTGTAAGACTAGCCAGTGCATTCCGCACGATATCAGAAGTAGCAGTGTGTGTAATTTCCGGAACTCTACCGCTCAGAGTTCTAGCTGAAGAAAGACGGAACCTTTACCAACGAAAGAGGTCAACCACACGAAGTGCCGAGGAACTCAGAGCTGAAAAACGGCAAAACAGCATTGCACGATGGCAATCGCAGTGGGACGCCGCAACAACAGGAAGATGGACACACCGTCTCATACCGAAGATCGAAATTTGGCTTAACCGGAATCACGGTGAGGTCAATTACTATCTAACACAGATGTTGTCGGGACATGGGTGTTTCCGAGAGTATCTACACCGCTTCAAGCACGATGACTCCTCGGAGTGCCCGACCCGCCCAGGAGTTGCTGAAGATGCGGAGCACGTCTTCTTTGTACGTCCTCGTTTTGACCCACAGCGTGAAGAGCTGGAGAGGATCCTGAACCAGAGATTGCAACCAAATTCACTAGTGGAAGCAATGTTGTCATCAGAAGCTGCCTGGAACGCTACCAACACGTTTGCAACAGAAGTCCTCAAAAACTTGCGTTCCACCGAAAGAAGAAGAACAAATAGCAGAAGATAGAAGGAAGGTAGCTAACACCTTAGCCACCAGAAGGAAGAGCAATAGCTAGATCCTCCCCTCACGAAGTAATGCCTAACGGCGGTTTCCAGGAGGGAATAGAGGAAAGAGGAAAGGGGTTTAGAGTTTAGTGGGTAGGGGCGTTAGCGTCAAGTTTTAGTATGATGTTGCGTCGAGTCGCCACATATCCAGGCCAACAACTATACCTAGAATCCGTAAAAAGGATTCCCCCCCCCAAAAAAAAAACACACACGCACACTCCCACAAAACGTACCAGGATACCTTCGCTGAATAGTAGCGAGCTACTTCACGAATAGGGTCCTGTAATATGACACGAAGAACGGTACGGAAGTGTACAAAATCTCCGGAGGAGTGCCACAGTGATCAGTCTTAGGTCCTCTGCTATGGAACATTATGTATGATGGCCTCCTGAGAATAGCATTGCTCACGGGGGTCGAACTTGTAGCATATGCGGATGACGTAGCTGTCGTGATCGTCGCAAAGCACCTCGAAGCGATAGAACTGGCATTTGATATTACATTTAGACGAGTCAATTTGTGGATGGACATGATGAACTTGCAACTGGCCAAGCATAAAACCGAGGCAGTGCTTATCACCAGCAGAAAAACGGTAGAAACCATTAAGTTGAGAGTCGGAGAACAATAAATCTTATCACAACCATTTATCCGTTATCTGGGAGTGATGCTGGATGCACGACTCAACTTCAAGCAGCAGGTGGAACATGTCAGTGCCAAAGCGTCAGTAGTGAGGGCTAGTCTCGCACGGCTGATGCCTAACATCGGAGGCCCAATGCAGAGCAGGAGGCTACTATTATCATCAGTAGTCACATCAGTGCTCACTTACGGAATATCCATTTGGGCTGATGCACTGGAAATCCAAGAATCATGGAGAAAAGCTGGACCAGTATATCGACTGAGTGCCCTACGAGTAGCTAGTGCCTTTCGCACTATATCAGAAAAAGCAGTGTGCGTCATTGCTGGAACCCTACCTCTTAGAGTTCTATAGCAGAGGAGAGACGGGCCCTATACCAACGAAAAAGGTCAACTACACTGAGCCCTGAAGAACTTAGAATTGAAGAACGGCAGATGAGCATAGGCCGATGGCAACTACAATGGGATGCTGCAGAGAAGGGTAGGTGGATGCACCGTCTCATACCTCGGATCGACATTTGGCTTAACCGGAATCACGGCGAGGTCAATTACTATCTTACGCAGATATTGTCGGGACACGGGTGTTTTCGAAAGTATCTACACCGCTTTAAGCACGATGACTTTTCGGAGTGCCCGGTCTGCCCAGGAGTTGCTGAAGATGCGGAGCACGTCTTCTTTGTATGTCCTCGTTTCGATCTACAGCGTGAAGAATTGAAGAGGATCCTGAACCAGAGAATGCAACCAGATTCACTAGTGGAAGCAATGTTGTCGTCAGAAGCTGCCTGGAACGCTACCAACACGTTTACAACAGAAGTTCTCAAAGACTTGCGTTCCACCGAAAGAAGAAGAGCAAATAGCAGAAGATAGAAGGAAGGAAGTTAACACTTTAGCCACCAGAAGGAAGAGCAGTAGCTAGATCCTCCCTTCACGAAGTAATGTCTGACGGCGGTTTCCATGAGGGATTAGAGGGAAGAAGGAAAAGGGGTTTAGGGTTTAGTGGGTAGGGGCGTTAGCGTTGAGTTTTAGTATGACGCTGCGCCGAGTCGCCACATATCCAGGCCAAACAGCTATGCCTGAAATCCGTAAAAAGGATTCCCCCCCCCCCCAAGGGAAAAAAAACACACAGACACACACAAACACACACACCTACATACAGAAATAGTGACACCCTCGCTGGGATAGTCAGGGAAGCTTCCTGTGATCTTCAAACGTCAAGATCTAGTGAAAACTCAATTTTTGCAAAACGGGATAAAACCAATAACTTCCCGATTTTTGAAAATCTTCGATTTTCTTAGCGGGAAGTTAAAAACTATAAAATAGTTATAATATAATAGATTACTCATATTACTAAAGTTAAATATTGACATAAAATGATAAAATGAGAGCAACAAATAAATAAATTATCCATTTAAAAAACATTTAATTATTAAAGTTATTATCATTATTAATAATTAAGTTATTTATTTTATTTTATTCCGAGTCAAAAAGCAAATTCACATTTAAGTCTCAAAATCTTCAGTGAGATTTTTGAGGGTCAGTTCGAGATTTTAAGATCAGATTCAGCATGAAAAGTAATACTAGTTTGTACCTCAAAATCCTATTTACGGATGGTTTTACCACTTTGAGGATCAAACTAAAACTACAGGATCCCGTTAGGATCCACATTTGACCCTCAAAAACCTCAAAATAAAATATTTTATTAAAACAAAAAGAAAAGAATCCGAGTAGGATCTAAACTCGAATCAATGTGCCTTTTAACGCTAGAGTCCCAACAACAAGATATTGGGAATCTCCGAGCTCGAGATACAATGAATAGAGATAATAATGATAACTATAAATATTCGGATAATTTTTACGCTGAAAACAGAACCAACGGATCTGATATTTTGACTCGGGAGCCATTCGACTCAAATATTCATTTTAATCAAAATCCTAATTGTAATGATTGTCGATGGAAACCAGTTAACCTTATAGTAAAATATTTGATACATGCACTAAAATAAATAAAATTAACTTGAATCAAGAGAAACATTCTTGAACCAAGAAAAATTTCTTATGTTAAAAAATTTTCTATTGAAATCAAAAAGATGAAGTTTTTCTAAATTATTTACTTGATTCAAGTTATTTTTTTTTCTGTGTAAATAATGAAATATATTACGGTTGTAGATTTTCATTTGATGGAAATGACAAATTGTGAAGGGAGAATTTTGATCGATTGTTGTTCAAGTTGGAATCGATGTTTCAGTCCTAAAAATTCAACAAGTGTTGATTGATATTTAAATATGACATTGCCCATTGACATATCATCGATGATAGCTTAAGATTTATCATAATAGAAATTTGGAATAATATCAATAGAAATTTGGAAACTAAAAAAAAAGTTTTAATTTGAACTTAATAATTCAAATTTCCATTTATAATTATATATTTTTGTATTGTTAACTTCAGTATATTAATTAAAAAACAAGCCTAAGATCAAGCTGCAGTTATGATAGTTATCTTGAATAAATAATAAATAATTCTATACAATAAACTGCAAACGGCTTAAAAAGCTTACGGAAATATTCCAGACTTAGAGTATACAATAATTAGTGTATAGTAGTGTCAATAATAATAAAAATTTTCCAGTTGTTAGATTACATGACAAAGATTCATTTTGTTTACATTCTTAACAAAAATATTGTTGTGAATATAAATATAAATAAATTAGAATTAATCTGAAGGCTTCAGACCGAAGCTCGATAAAAGTCACGAGTAAGAGTTCAATTGATTGTGTAAGTTCATAATTATTATACGTTGTATTAATTGCAACTACTTTGTGTCTTCTTCTAAATCCTAATGTTAAAATACTCAAAATCTTGCGAAGTAAACAGTTAATTCATTTAATTTTTTTTTCTGCCCTCCGGCCGGAAAGTGGCAACTTTCTGGCCGCTGCGCTAAACAAAGTTGCCACATTCCGGCTACGTCGAGCAGAAAAATAGTATACACACCCTGGCCAGTAAAAAGTAAAGCCTCAGACCACATGTTTGTCAACCTCGGCTTCGCCTCGGCCAACAATTACATGTGGTCTAAGACTTTTCTTATTTTACTGGCCTAGGTATGTAATCTACTATTGGTAATCGATAATAAGTGACAAATGACAGATTACTATGTTTAATTACATATATAACTTCTTTTGTTCAATCATCATAATTAAAAAATCGAGTCTGAACACGGCGAAGACTATTGCGGCCATGTTGGAAATCATCAATGTCAGCCATTTTATAAGCAACAAAAATACAAAGGTATAAAATTAGTAATTATTTTATTATAGAGATATTAACTGTTATATGTTGCTTAATAACATTAACGAGTAAGTAATATATATGTTATTAATGAAATATATCAAGTTACGCTTATTATTATGCGCATCTTGATTTTTTAATTTATGCAATTGATGTAATTCATTTTGATTGCAATACTAATGCTGGTATTAATAATTTTTAAAAATTGATTTTTGTGTTAATAGATACTCAATCTATGAATAGCTGCCAAATCAATGTGTTTACAATAATTTATTAATAATAATAAAAAAAAAAACTTGTTATTATATCGATTTAAAATTCTTCACGTTTAAAAGACTATCATTATCATTATCAATAAATATATCGAAAAGCTGACGATACATTTATTACGAAATTTAATAATAATAAAAAAAAATAATGGAATTTATTTAATATACTAATAGTTGTTTGTATATAATTTTCACAGTATGTAATATATATTTTAATAAATCAACAGACAAAAGAAACTTGACATATATTTTTATAAAATATTGATATATAACTTCAAAATTAGTGATTTTGAATTTAGAAAATGATTGCGTCTTATTTATTTGAAAAAAATAATTTTAATATTATTATTATTATAACTCTTCAAGATTTATCATAGCAAAAATTTAATATACTTAAGATATTAATTCAGACAGTAATTCCCTAGGCATTGACCTGATAATAGTTTAAGTAACTTAAATCTAAATTATGTGCTAAGGATTTGTAATAACCGGCAATAAATAAATCGTGAAAGGTTTCAAATACTCAACTGCTCCATATAAACACAATCATATCAAACATTATTCTTCCATTATTATCACTACAATAATAATAATAATAATAATAATAATAATGATTATAAATGCAATAATACTCATAATTTTCCGTTAAAAATTAAAAATTTCACCGTAATTTTAATAAAAAAATTAAAAAAAATATTAATTTGTAAATAATGAAACACCAAGTAGAATGTTATGTTTTGCGTTACAAATACAGAAATGTATAAGTATGTATTTGTATTTGTGTTTATATTTATATTTTATATTTGAAATCCTCCGCACAACGAGAGATATAGAAAGTAAAGTATTTATAATCCCCACCTCATATATTTATCGGAAGATAACTGCAACCGTACGTATGACTACGATATCAGTGCTTGCCATTCAGAGTTTACGATACCTGACAGTAACATCTCTTCAGCTCTTTAATTTAACCTAGAGACTATAATAACAATCAATTATTTTGTTATAATTTTAAGAAATAAGTACCTAACAATATTAATCATTATAGAAAGATAAAATAATTTTTTTTTATTTATAATTTTAAATAAAAAAAGTGTCAAAGTGATTCTCTTTAAGATCCATGACTCCACCAATAAAACCCGAAGGCAAGTCTTGTAATTTGTAGAAATTAATTAATTAATAAAAAAAAAAACAATTTATTATTATATATCAGCTTTGTGTCTTTATGGTGATAGGTAATAAGAATTTAAACTTAAACAAGTAAATAAATAATTAACATATAATATTTTACTTATTAATGTGTCTAATTGTGATGTTTAAAATTAATCTAATTGTTAAAACAGTTGATAGGCCGATTTACATCGACAATACACCGCCATGGCTTAGACAAGAGGATTTAAAAGATATCTGTTCTACTTTTGGTAATGGAAATTTCTTCTAACATTAATATTAATATTTACTTTAACATTATTTTCATTTTTATTTTAATAATTATTAATTTTAACTATTTTCGCAACAAATAATTCTGCTTGTGTCGCAATCTGGGTTGCTTCTTAGCTCAATAATCTATTAATAAGTACGCAATGCTTTATTTTACAATTTACATTATTAGATTTATTATTTATAGAAATTTTACTTAGTTCATTATTTGTTATTGTTTTTCAAATGTTATTATTTTTATTGTTAACATTAATTGAATATCATAAAATATTTTTGTTATCAATTGGAAAATTTTCATTTGTAATCTTCTCTCAAATTATCTGAGATGTGTCACCAATGATTTCATTGTTTATTTTTTTAACAATGATGCAAGGCATACATTTTTTAAGACGTTTTTTTGAAAAAAAATGATTAATTCAGACTATATATTTATTAATAAACTGTACTATGAGATTTAATATTTTTCAATATAAGTGAGGCTTGTAAAAATTACATTTACTGATTACCGCAATTTTTCAAAAAATTATAGAAAAATTTGAAACTTTTTCATCAAATTTTTAGAATAACTTAATTAAATTCCAAAAACTTAAAATTTTTATAAAATTTTGTTTAGAATTTAATTTTTAGAAAGAACTATTTCTTATAAACTTCCAATCAATAATAAAATTCTCATTACCATTTGACACTTACAATTTGAATGTTACCGTAGATCAGGTCGATCCTCTTACGATAATAATAAGTAGATAATCTCCGTCTGTTATCATTCAAATAAAAAACTTAATTATTTATATAAGTTTAATTCCGCCGTCACTTCTGAATTTTTTTAGACATTTATAACCTCTAGTCTGAAAATACATATCCTTTAATTATAAATCTCGCAATATAAACAACTTACACGGAAAATAAATCGTAGGAAAAATTACAATTGTCACATCGTAATCGAGGATCAAACTTTCACTATCTTCATATTTATAGTTGTAGATTTTAAAATTTACGATGTCACATCGTAAAAGTTCGTATATTGAATACTTTAATATGCACGTAAATTTTTAAGTATAAAATTATGAAAGTAGAGATATTGAAAGTCTGGTTCTGGATTATGATGTGATAATTGTAATTTTTCCTAAAATTTTTTTTCCGCGTGCAGTGATAAAAAAATAAACGTGATTCAAGAGAAAAATTTTTGGACCAAGAAAATCTTATTGAACAGCTTCATAATTTTGAGATAGTTAAAAAAAATTATTGAATCAAGAAATTTTACTTGATTCAAGGATTTTCCTCTTGAATCAAGTTAATTTTTTTAGTGTAAATTCAAATTTTTCACCTTAAAAAGGAACTTTCTCCAGTAAAATAAAATTCATACGTAATATTTCTGCGAGGCAATCTAATGATACGCGAAAACTCTTTATAGTTAATAATGAAAATTAATTGTGTCTTATTTACACTTGAAGAAACTTATCAGCTTACGTAACTAAAGAATTTATAATTCGTAACAAATTACTCATCAGAGTATTTATATTATGAAGTTGAAATAGAAATAATTATTTATAATAAATATGAAATAAAAGTTTAAAATAGACAAACAATAATATTAATTGAAAGACTTGTTGAATTTTTTTGACAAAATTAGATGAAATTGAAAAAGGTGGCTCACCAGGTGGAACTGTTAACTTTGAAGAAGCAATAACTTTATCTGGATATGGAAAGTTTAATTATCTGTTGTTACTGGCGATATTACCAGCCGCTTGGGCATGTATTTTCGACTCAAGTTCAATGCCTTACGCATTGCCATCAGCAGAGTGTGATCTTAATCTCTCACTTTTCGATAAGGGTCTTCTCAATTCTATGCCATTTGCAGGTAACGTTTTATCAGTCAATCACTCAATTGATTGATCAATTTATTAATCTGTCAATCATTGAATAAATATAAACATAAAATATAAATAAAAGATTAATTAAAATGATAATCATTACAGGTATGATAGTAACGTCCTTCATATGGGGATTCTTGACAGACACTTACGGACGTAAAGATATCCTCGCATGGGGGTACTTGATGACATTTATTGTGAGCTTTTCAAGTTCGTTTGCTCACACATCCTGGCTGCTGATTCTATTTAAGTTTCTTGGTGGCATTGTGTAAGTAATCTGCATTAATTACGATCTTGTTTTATTACTTTTTACTTATATTTCTTGGTACACGTTATATTACTTGCCGCTGACATCAAACGATTACATGCTGATAATTAACTGTGACAGGGCAATTATAAAAGACACTTGACTTTGACTGTGATTTAACTATCGCAGTGTGTCATCGATAATTAATAATTAAATCAATCTCAATTATTTAACAGGATATCCGGGCCTTTTGCAGCTTTGATGTCATACCTTGCTGAGGTACATGGTGAAAAAGAACGAACACGAATTTACATGTGGCTCGGAGTTTTTTTTTCCCTTGGAAATATTTCTATGCCTTGTAAGTATTTGTGTACTTTATCGTCTATTGGAATTTTGGCTAAAGAAAGAGAGAGATACGAGAAAATTTGTAAAAAACTTTTTTGTTGAGGGTTGAATTTACTACAAGAAAGGTCTTATATATTTTTTTTGTATCTTTAATATTCAACTCAAAATTTCAATTTTAAACTTTTTAAACCTAGGAACAATTTTTGAGACTATTTTTAAATTTAAAAATAAAATTCTGGGAAAAAAAGTAACAACGTGAAATTGATGAAGATCTTTTTTTGTAGAGGATTGAATTTCGTACAAAAAAGGTTTCTTATGATTTTTTTGTATCTTCAATATTTGGGCCAAAATTTGAATAAATTTAAATCTTTTGAAATATGAAAAGAAGTTATTAAAATTTTTATAAAAAAACATTGTGATATTTTATTTAAGCCATTTAAAGTATATAAATAAAATTAAATATCGCGTATCTACGTCAATAGGTTTTTCCAGATGCAAAAATTTCTCAATTTTGTCTTGAACTTTCACAATCAGAATAAAATTACCATTAAGATTTCAAAACCATTAAGATCTCAAAATAACAAATAGTCTAGTCGACAAGTTGAAAATGGTACAAAATAGAGATACTGCTCTTAAAATTAAGTGCGATAGCTCATTGGATCCGGAATGACGTCTAGAAAAATGTGCCAAAAGCGTGTATTAGCACATAAAAAATTGCAAAAGTTATAAACAATTAAAGATGAAAAAAAAATGGCATTTCGTTTTTCGCCAATATTTCATAAACTATTAATAGTTAAGAAATTTCAAAAAAAAAGATTCTGAAAGAGGAGGAAATTTCCAATAAAAAACTCCTAACTCCCGGAACTCTATCTCCATTATTTATAATTTTAATTTAACGCTGAAAATAGGTCCGCGCGCGACATTTTTAGGTTGCACGCGCGGCGTCAAAAGCGAGTACGGTACATTAATTAATTTATTTAAGGTATTGAATATTTTTTTTTTTAATTTGAAAAAATTATGGTGAGTTCTGAACACTATAAATAATTTATTCCCGTTGGAAATTTTACTTAAAGTTAATTTTTCAACAAGTTAAAAAATTGTTAACTAACAAAATTTTCTCGAACTAATTTTATGAAATTAAAAAAAATTTCGAGAAAAATGCCATTAATTAATTAAAAAATAACATGATTTATAAATAAATATTTGCAACGTTTATATATTTTATTACTTGACAGAAGTGCTTTGAAGGTCTATAACTGTATCTGCATTATTTAAAAAGTTAGGAGTCACGAAAGTTCAAAAAACATTGAAAAAAATATAAGTTTTTATAAACAAATGCGCATAACAATAGATTAGTAATATCTAAATTTTTTTTCAATAATTTATTTGAAAGATAGTTGAACCATTACAAAATTGACTAGAATGTTTATTTTCGTATCTCTAATAGTTTAAAAGTTATGTTAGTTTTTTAGTAGACAAACGAAGCAGCCGCTGCAACTATTGTAGCACGTATTTTTTAAAAGTACAATAAAAAATTGAAAAAAAATTTTTTTTATACTTTGTTATATATGGTTGTTTTTGTTAATTTTAGAAGTTTTAGAAAAAAAATATGAAAAAGTTAAAAATTTGTCTATAACAAATTGGTAAGTCAATAAACAATACAATTGTTGATAAAAAAAATTTTTTTTTTTCGTGAATCTTTATAGAGGACTAATTATGATTTTCAGAAAAAAAATACGGCCTGTTACAAAGTTCTAAAATTAACAAAAACAACCGTATATAACAAAGTATAGATAAAAATTTTTTTCAACTTTTTATTGTACTTTTAAAAAATACGTGTTACAAAACTTGCAGCGGCTGCTTCGTTTGTCTATTAAAAAACTAAAATAACTTTTAAACTATTAGAGATACGAAAATAAACATTCCAGTCGATTCTATAAATAGTTAAACGATCTTTAAAATGAATTATTCAAAAAAATTTTAGTTATTACTAATTTATTGTTACGTGCATTTGTTTATAAAAACTTATATTTTTTTCGATGTTTTTCGAACTTTCGTGACTCCTAACTTTTTAAATAATGCGATTACGGTTACAGACCTCCAAGACTATTCTGTCAAGTAATAAAATATATAAACGTTGTAGTTATTTATTTATAAATCATGTCATTTTTTAATTAATTATTGGCATTTTTTTCTAAATTTTTTTTCATTTCATAAAAAATTAATGTCGATTACTATCTATTCATTTATCACAAGCAAAAATTTATACAAGCAATGTTAGGATATAATTGTATTGTTAAAAAAACTTTTGATTTTGATTAATAACATAATTTTATTTGCATGAATTACAAAAATAATAATAAAAGTAATATTAATGATAATCAAAATTTTAAAAATAGTATTTATATGGAGTTAAATACATCGTTTTCTTCGTTGTTTTTTGGGGAGAAAAAAATGCCCATAATTAATTAAAAAATGAAATGATTTATAAATAAATAACTACAACATTTATATATTTTATTACTTGACAGAATAGTCTTGAATCATTCAAATAATTTATAATTCGATTATGGTTACATCAAAATATAAAAAAATCACCCTTTACAAAATTTGGAGTTAGACAAATTACTAATTAGACCGTCGATATAAGTTTTTATAAACAAATGTGCGTAACAATAAATTAGTAATAACTAAAACTTTTTTGAATAATTCATTTAAAAGATCGTTTAACTATTTATAAAATCGGATGGAATGTTTGTTTTCGTATCTCTAATAGTTTAAAAGTTATTCTAGTTTTTTAGTAGATAAACGAAGCAGCCGCTGCAACTTTTGTAACACGTGTTTTTTAAAAGTACAATAAAAAATTGAAAAAAATTTTATACTTTGTTATATATGGTTGTTTTTGTTAATTTTAGAAGTTTTAGAAAAAAAATATGAAAAAGTTAAAAATTTGTCTATAACAAATTGGTAAGTCAATAAACAATACAATTGTTGATAAAAAAAATTTTTTTTTTTGTGACTTTATAGAGGACTGTCAATTATGATTTTCAGAAAAAAAATAATTCCTTAACTAATTATTTAAACAATAGAAATATTTTAAGAAACGATTGTAAACAATTAAAAATTGTTATTAAGGAAAAAAATTATTATAAACAAAGTATTAATATTTTTTTAACTTTTATAACGCGATCTTGTTAAGTATGTATGTAAGAAAGGCTCTACGAAGCGAAAATTTTTTACGACAATTATTTAAACATTTTTTTTCACTTACAATTAAGACGGTAGTTCGAGAAAATTTTGTTAGTTAACAATTTTTTAACTTGTTGAAAAATTAACTTTAAGTAAAATTTCCAACGGGAATAAATTATTTATAGTGTTCAGAACTCACCATAATTTTTTCAAATTAAAAAAAAAAATATTCAATACCTTAAATAAATTAATTAATGTACCGTACTCGCTTTTGACGCCGCGCGTGCAACCTAAAAATGTCGCGCGCGGACCTATTTTCAGCGTTAAATTAAAATTATAAATAATGGAGATAGAGTTCCGGGAGTTAGGAGTTTTTTTATTGGAAATTTCCTCCTCTTTCAGAATCTTTTTTTTTGAAATTTCTTAACTATTAATAGTTTATGAAATATTGGCGAAAAACGAAATGCCATTTTTTTTTCATCTTTAATTGTTTATAACTTTTGCAATTTTTTATGTGCTAATACACGCTTTTGGCACATTTTTCTAGACGTCATTCCGAATCCAATGAGCTATCGCACTTAATTTTAAGAGCAGTATCTCTATTTTGTACCATTTTCAACTTATCGACTAGACTAAAACTAAAGCATATTTAAACTTAACATCTTTCAGGTTTGGCATGGCTGATTTTACCTCAAAATATAAATGTCAGCATATTTGATTCATCATTTCATTTAACATCTTGGCGGGTTTTTTTAATAGTGTGTTCGATACCCGAATTAACAGCATTTATTGCGTTGTCATGGTTTCCGGAAAGTCCCAGATTTTTGTTATCGAAAGGACGCGATGATGAAGCGCTGGACGTGTTGCGTCACATTTACCATCTTAACACCGGCAACGATCCTAAGACGTTCCCGGTAAGTAATTGTTAAATAACTTTATAAAGTCTTCGTTGAATATATATATATATATATATAATAAAAAAAAAAAAAAAAAAAAAAAAACTATTGAGAAACCGTGTTCGGTTTGCGCGGGATCATTAGGGATCTCACACGATCCTTCTTTCTCTCTCAGCTCGAGCATTAACAGAGTGATAATAGTATCTGTAAACAACTCTGTAACTGTTGATTGAGAAAAAATAGCTGTCGTTCTGTACTGGTTCAAATACCACGATGATATGAATGAGTGTCATCCAATTTCTACCGATATAATGGCTACTATCTTATATCTCTCTATGGCTTACTCTCATGATCCTGATCAGGTAGTAATCGGGATTTCATTTTTTCATTTATTTTATTTTATTATTATTACTTTTTTTATTTATTCATGAGTCAGTTATGAAAATCGGTTAGTGTAAATAATAACAATTATCATTCTTAATAATAGTAAAAGTTATTTAAATATGTCTGTGAAGTTAATCATACTGAAATCAGCGGACATCTGATAATTTTTTTCAATTTTTATAGCAAATTACTTAATTTATTATAAAAAAAAAAATATTTTTTAAATTTGCACTTATAATTTCTTTTAATTTCTACATATGTAATTTTTTTATTTAATTTTTTTCATAATAGTTAAATTGTTATAAAAATCTAAAAAATTGTTAGATATCTGTATTATTTCAAGTTAGATATTTGCATTTTGTTTTCAACCTAACCTACTTTTGTACAATGACTCTTTTTGTACTTATAATACATAAATTAAGGGAGTTACTTGTGGGGATGACAATCTTGTGTTAACAAATAACTAATTATCTTATTTTTATTTGGCATAACCAGGTGACGAGTATAAAAGACGAAGATTTTGTTAAAAACAATGGTAAGACATTAAGAGAGTGCTTGAACAATGGTTGGGAACAAATGAAACCACTTTTTAAAGCACCTCATATATATAAATTATTACTCATCGGATCGATACAGTTTTGTGGAACTATTGGGTAAATTAATATTATTTATTTATTTATTTAACTATTTAACTATTTAATTAATTAATAATCAAATTTGATTAATCAATTCCAGTTGTAATTCCTATTGTTTTTAAAGTTTAAGTGTCGAAGTAGAGTAATAGATTTTTTAATATTTACTTGTGTAATACTACTTAAATTACTTAAATTTATTATTTATCTGTCAATGTGAGTTGATTAAAATAAATTTATTGAATTATTTACTGAAAAAATTAGATCAAGTACAATAAGACTGTGGATGCCGCAATTATTTGCAATGATTGAAACCTATGAATCAACACATTCTAAAGATACTTCAAAACCTTCGCTTTGCGATATGTTGCAACAAACTAGTGGGCATAATAATACTTATCAGAATAATAATAGTTATAATCAGACGATTATTGTCGACAGTACTTGTACACCAGTAAGTTTTTTTTAACAGTGAAAGTTGCAGACAAAAAATTTTATTTGTATTGATATTTAATTCAATTTTTTTTTTTTTTTTTCTAGGTGATACTTAACTCGACTGTATATTTAAACTCTATGGTAATTGCGCTGACTGGAGTGATAGGATACACCTTAGCGGGGTCGTTAATTAATTGCGCTGGGACCAAGAAACTAATGGGTAAATTTTTGGTTTTAATAAAACTGAATTATTTATAATTATTGAGTAAGGTTTGATAATTAATTGTTGGTTTTTCAGTGTTCTGTTTCCTCACCGCGGGAAGTTGTTGCGGAACATTGTACTGGGCTGAAGATTCAAGTGGGATTTTAGGTATTTCTTCAGTATTTGTCGCACTTTCCAGTGTTGGAGGTGCTGCTGTTAATAATGTTATTGTAGACAATTTCCCTACACTACTAAGGTATTTTTTTATTAAAAAAAAAAATTCATCAAAATTTTAAATAAAATTTTGTTAATTATTGAATAGGGCAATGGCGATTTCAACAACAATGATGCTCGGTAGAGTAGGAGCCGTGACTGGTAATGTTCTGTTTCCAGTATTGTTTAATTTAAGCTGTTTGGGACCATTTATTATGATTGGTATTGCTTGTATCGGTAAGTTTAAAAATAACAATATAATTATTTATTATATGAACAATTGATTTGGACTAATTTTATTTTTTGTTTACAGTGTGTTCAATATTAGTTTTATTTGTACCGTCGAAAACATCAGAATTAAAGAAGTCAATAAAATTAAACGGCAAATAATTATAATTAAGTTAAACATTTCCCCTGTAATTATTCGCAACGTACGCATTTGTATAAATAATCCATAACGTAATAACGTATTAGATAGTACTATTAATTTAATTACTACTTTTGCTATTATATGTAATAGATATTAATATTAATATAATTACCAGTGATAAGGTGTCTATACATTTTATACATACTTTGTATAAAACATTTTTTCATTAATTACTATTAATCATTGTTGTTAATATAAATACTTTTTTTTGTTATATAGAGATTATTGTGATAAAAATAATGTATTAATTAGTACAAATAATATGTAATTATTAATTAATATGTACTTTAATAAATATCTCATTTGTAAGAGTTTTTTAAATTTAATTAGAGACTTTTATTGTTTGTAAATTTTAAGAAAAAAAATTCTTATAAAATAATTTATAAAGTTTTTTTATTTTGTTTGTCAAAAAAAAAAAAAAACGAAATTAATTAATTAGTACGGGAATAAATTTTTAAAAAATAACTAGGAAAAATTTGTATGAAAGATCGGATTATTGAAGGTAAATTGGTCTAAAAAAATGATTCCTAATAAAGGACTAACAAAAATTGTAATGAACTTTAAATAATATTATTTTCAATTCAATTATCTTTATTACGAACTTATAATTGTTTGCTCACATATTTATTCGTTTCGTGTTATTGTTTTTTAAATTTTTTTTTTTTTATACGCGCATCGGTTATTGTATTTGAAAAAATTAAAATTGGCATAATTTAATAATCAGTATTATTATTAATATTAATTAATTAATTGTTTAATAATAATAATAATGATAATTTTTATTATTATTATTATTATTATTATTAATATTTTCATGTGTTTTTGACCAATCTCATATCATTCTATTTAATCACAAACAACACAATTACACATTATAAATCGCTAATAATGTACGTGCGCAAATGAGCTTTTTGTCATATTTTGGATTTAATTACAATCAATTTTTAATTGTGGCTGATTTATCTTTACCTACTGATGATAATGATACCTGATGATTAATGTTTACCGAAGCTGTTGGATGGACAACAGCAGTATTACCACTTGGATTACTTATGATAACATTTAATCCATCAGCTCTGTTTACCTCCGGTGGTTTGAAAGCCGCAGCATATGGAAAACGTTTGTGACATTTAGCCGTGTATTTATCTATTGCCTCGTCACACGGACCGAAATCATTGTTACGCAGAGCTTCTAATATCCTTACACAATTGTTCAAATTTACACCTACTAGTCCACCATTACTTTCATTACCATTAGTATTACATGCATTATCATCGTTACAGCAATTAACGACAAGCGAAAGAGCTTTTTCCTGTGCGCTAGAATCCAACAAGTACATCATGCGTCCAGCTTGGAATAAGTGGGGCAATGACTTTTTGTTTTTACTCAAAAACTCAGCGTTGAATTGAACTGGGTCGGTGGTAGAAAATATTTCACTGGTTTGTCGCTTTATAACTTCAGCGACTGGGCCTTCAAGTTGTTGTTGGTTTGTTGTTAATTTTAGAAACCGTACCAGGCATGAATGCAGCTCTGGATTGTTTGCATCTAGACGGTGAGCGCGCTTAATTGATTGTAACATTAATAAAATTTTACCTGTAACAATAAATTTTTTATTAATTATTGTTATTATGTAATTGTTCATTAATTTTTTTGTGCACTGCGTTTATCTAATTAATTTAATTCTTTTCTACTAAAATCATGACAATTAATAATAATATCGGCTATCAGGCCTCTTTAGTATCAAATAAATAAGAAATAAAACAAACCTTTGCGTATGTAGATCTCAAATGCCATCAAATGAGTCTCAATACGATCAGCAGCCAAGTTTTGCAAAGGTTGTAAGAACTTGATGGCTTGTTCAAGTGGATCTTCAACCTGTAAGTAATTATTTGATTAAGTACTTTCAAATAATTTACTCTAATTTTAAATAATTAAATGAATACATACTCGTTCAAGTTTCTCAGGAATTAATTCATCTAAAGTCGGTTGTTCAAAATCAGCATCAGCTTGCTGCCGAGACTTATTATGCTGTTCTCGTTTTTCTTGAGCTTGAGCAGCTTGTTGTCGTTCAAGTTCGGCCTTTCTGCGCTGCTTCCGTTGTTTATTCCTCAGCTTCTTGAGCTCTGAAGGCGCCAAATTTTCTACAAAAAAAAAAAAAAAAAAAAAAAGGAAAATCGTAATAAGTAATTATTCAAATTGAAGGCATAATAACATTTTCTAAATCCATAAAAAAAAATATCAACACTTTCTAATTATATAATAAATTTTTTAAATAACTTATTATTATAATTATAATTTAATAATAAAAGTGGGCATCATAGAACATAGAACAGCCGACATAGCTCATGAATTCGCGAGGTTTGTATTTCAACCGTAAATAAAATTATATTTATATGTGCTATTTTTCCTATTATAATTATCCTATCTATTTATTTAATATGTACAAATTTTTTACCCTACATATTTAGTATACATACATAATTGTTAATTTACAGTTGATGTAATCGACAAACTACAATTGTATTACATCAATAAATATTACTAAACAAACTAAACTACATACATATACGATAGATAGATAGGCATAATAAAAATTCCTCTTTCGTAGAATAAAAAATTTTTTAATTAATACTCTATTTCTTTAGTTTTATTACATCAATATCCTCGTAAGTATTAACAAATTGCTATTTTATTATATTATACTTTGATTTTTATGTTGAGACAAATATCTTGATCAATTTCTTATTTCTTTTACCAATTTATCTTTAAATTACTTTCCAGGTAATAATTATAACTTAATTAACTCCAATTTATGGTACTAACTTCTCTTTCAATTAATTTTTTTAATTTTACTTTAATCTTTGTCTACTGGGTGTGGATTTTACTTTTTATACCAATTAATTACTTTATTATAAAGAGTGTAGTTTTAGAAAAATGTCAAGATTTATTGGTTCGGATTTTTTTAATTCTGAATAAAATTTTTCATTGGCCATTTTAAATTAAATTTTTTTTAAAGAATTAACTGACCTCAAATATTGAGCTAATAAATTATTCATTTTATGACTTTGTATACAGTTATTATTTACATATTTACGCGTTTTATCGATACGATGACTTGCACGCGTTTTCTAACTATAAAAATTAATAGTTAAAAATATGAAGTTAATGTTTATTAGTTTTCTAACTTCAAATAGTGGATTTAAGATAAAAAATACATAGTTAAATTTCTTAATAATTTTTACATCTATAAAGAAAGAAAATTATTTAAAGATTAGAGAGTTTTAAAAAACTTTCAATAATCGCTTAATTAAAAAAATTGTTGGTGAAAAACAAAATAGTTTATAAACTTAAAGTATTTTTGTTTAATAATCACCAAGAATTGAATAAATAGTTGTGTACATTTTTGGCACAGCGAGGAATTAAACTTGAACAGTAGGACCGGGTTCGACCCCTGACTATGGCAATTTTATTTTACCAGTGCAGAATTTTTCTTTTTTTTTTTTAATGAATGAATTAATTCCATAGGGAAATTTAACAAGAGAAGGTAATTATTAATAATAAATTAGTAAAAATGATATTGAATATTTTCTGGTGAAAAAATGAATGAAGATATATATCTAATTGAATAAATTAAAATGAAAAGAGTGATTATATTAAAAAGCTTGTTGAGTTTAAGGCAACACGTGATAAAAGGATATAATAATGTGTTAAATGTATATATTTATAGAGCGATGTAAGGTATTCACGTGTCTTTATTATTATATTGAATTTAGCGATAGCATTATTATGTGAGAGGTATGTGTATATCACGAGTATGGTGAAGGGTGTGTATAAAACGTGCACCACGTGAGGCCACGGTTAGGCGTGGCGTTCGCTTTCTGCCTTCTAGTATAAAATAAAATAAAATAAATAAATAGAAAGAAAAATAATAAATTTAAAAATAAAGATTTACTTAAACAATGGTGTATATCTATAGCTAGCAACCGTTATACTTATTAGACTATCGTCATCATCATCGTCGTAGTCTGAGCCGACGTCGTCGTCGAGTTGGAAAGGCATTTTAAAATGTACCATTACATTGTTATGATACCTCTACGTACTGTTTATAGAATGAGTAGAATGCACAACGCCCCAATTGATTGTGTAAACTCTTTTCGTACTTTTATATATATGATTTTATAGATATATATTTATAAATACATAGATGTACATATGTATCGGTGTATAATATGTATTTATAGATGTATGGTTATGAAAAAAAATTAGAACCACTTAAATTGTATCCGAATTTTTAAACGTGTCAAGGCCGCGTAATTGTTCTGCTTATTGTAAATATAAATTACAAAACATGAGTCAATTGTATCACGTGTTAATATTATGGAAATAAAAAAAATTATGAATAAAAATAATAATTTTGATTTGGTGATTATTATTATTTATTTTATTAATTGTTTCGGGATTAATCATAAATTTTTTTTGGGTAATTGTGATGAAAAGTTTTTAGATGATTAGCCATATATGGTGATAACATGAATAATAAACATCAAAATAATAATTCCCAAAAATTCTTGATAATTACTGTTCAAAATTCAAGTGCAAAAATTTTGTCGAAAATAAAAAAAAAAATCTGAAATAATAATTATTATAATATTCAGACTTTCAAATATTATCATTTTTAACTTTTTATCGGTTAAACGGTAAAAAAAATCAAATTTTTTACAATAATTCTTGGTAATTAATAAAGAGAATAAGGATCTATACTGGATAAATTTTAATAAATATTGTACTTATTAGTATAAGTTTATTACTATTATTATTCTCACTAAAAGAAAAAAAAATTAAATAATAATGATAATTAGAGAAAAATTTTATAAAAAATAAGTACTGATGCAAGAATAAAAAAATTGTGATGACAATAAATTTCTTGCACGAAATTATTTAATTTAAAATCCGAGTACTTATGTATGTAAAAAAGAAAAGTGAATTTTCGCTTGGTGAAACACAATAAACGTGCTTACAATTTAAAACTACATGTTTAGTTATAAATAAAAAACACAGTAAGCGTGTACTCTTATATTACACTTAATTCTGAACATATAAACAGTAGTGCAGCTAAGAAAAAAAATGGATAAAACATATACATATATATATACTGCACGAAGAAAGAGAAGAAACGAGGAAGACGAAATTTCATTTGAGTGAATTCATTTCAGCGTCACGCGGTATGATTATTACAGAGTATTGTCTGCTAGATATAAAATATTTATATCAAGAATTATCTAATTTATATTTTATATTTTATTTATGGGTTTATTTATTATGCATTATGTAATTTTTTTTTCCTTTTTTGTTTGTGTGTTTTAATGAGTTACGTAAATTTATTTTCATGTCAATTTTAGAATGTAAACCTATCGATTGTTTACAATTGTGATTATTACATTATGAACTAAACTGTAAACTGTCGTTATATTAGTTTTTTAATGCACTACTTTACTTATATTTATGACTTGTAGCCATTAATTTTGAAACGTTTTCAGCCTTTACAATCTACAACAAAAACGTTTCAAAAATTTTTCAAAGCCTCAATATTACTTTAAATATTTTACATTTTGAATTTGTTTTTTTTTTTTTTTTTTTAATTTTTTGAATAAAATACTCTAAAGGAATAAAAATATTAATTTCCGTAAACTAAAAGTGAAACCATAATCTCTATTATTTACAATAAAAATATTAATAAAGACAACAAAGAAAATGTTTAAAAAAAAATAAAACCAGTAAGGCGCGACACTTTTACTATTTATGCATCACCTTCACTGTTTCTTAGTCATTAATTTTTTTGCTCACTACTTTCCTCAACAGCGAGCTCAGTAATATATATATTTAACCATTATTTGTATTCTATACAAGGTCATTGTACCTGTGGATTGTAAAAAATACCGTAACAATGTCGCGAGAATACCTAATGATGCCACGATCCACAATTTCTAATTTCACGCGACAAGAAAGCCAAGAAAGTGCTCAGAGAAAAATATTATTTTATCAGCACTTTTCAATGTCTATCTTTACTTTATTTATTTATTACATTTTCGATATAAATCTAAATCTAATAAGTTATAACTGATAATTCATGCAGAAATTTAGCACAAACTAACCATCTAACGCTTAGCGACATACATTTTAAGTATTTATTTCCTTGCGGATGGAGGAAAAAAAGGCATAAGAGTTATAGGAATGGTAATTTCTTCCTGTGCAAGTGAAATTTTAATGGTAATGATAACGTCCGGATTTTTAGAAATATTCATCTATATATTTATATATATGTTGTCTGGTTTCATTTCTTGAAAAGAAACTATATGATCTTGTGGAGAAAAAATAAAACGCTCTAGTTATCGCAAGAAAGTGTGTGCATCTAATTTGAATTTTTTTTAGTTTTACATTTTTTATTACAAAAAATTTCATGGATACTTCTTGATATTAAAGCGTTGAGATATGTTATTTGTTAATAGTTGTGGATTAACTCGTAAATAAGAGACGACGCGAGGGCAATAAACACCTTGTACTTAAACGCTCATTTTATTTTCTTCCTAAATTTACCGACAACACTATTATACCTTCAATTATATGCAATAATAAATTTATCTTTATTCTAGATATTAATAAAACAAATTAATCAATTTTGGATTAATTATTTGTTAATATAAGTTAATTTCCGTTGTGGAGAACTGACATGGAAAATATGTTATTTTTGTAAAATAAATTAGACTATAAAGTAACATTTTTTAGTATTGGACATGAAAAAGTACGGTGAAGAAATAAATATAATTTATCAATAAATACGAACAAACTAATATATATTTATTGTTTATAAAATGATCATCGAGTAACTTTGAATATAATTACCACGGTATAATTATAATTTCAGTAAAAAATATAAACTTTTAAATGATCAAAAAATTTGTTTTCAAGCAAACTAAATAAACAGTCTGTTGAAAAATATAAACAGACGATAGATATTAGGAAAATTGTTGGCTGCTGGTATAGCGTCGTATTAACCAAGATTAAGGCTTATTCCGGGTTCCAATCCGTCTAATGTCAACGACTTGATTATTTCCTAATTTCGGCGAATCAATTTAAGTTCAACAATACACAATTACTTTTATTAATTTTAAAGCTTTAAAATTTAAGATTCAATCAAAATAAACTTATTTATTGTGAGAAAAAATGTTCACTTTCATATAATATATGTTGATGGAATTTCTCGCGTGTAGTTTTTAAAAATCAGTAAGTAAAAAATGATTGTATAATTGTTTAGTTTTTGTTACTATTATTATGATTATTATTGTTGATATTAATAATAATTCATTATTTTTGCAGATTATATCGCATGGGAAACCCCAAGGCTAAATCGTGATCTTAGTGATGCTACACTAGTGATTAACCCAAGGTTTTGTTCGCTGGTAGTGAGAAAAAGGCGGTATACTGGGGCCTGACGTTATATTAGTTGAAGTTGAAAGGATAAAGCATAGAGCTGGAGTATATAATAGTAGAGATGCAATAAATAATGATAGATGCGCGCGTTAATTGTTTAACGAATTAGCTCTACTTGTGTTCACACGTCTGCGCTCACGATGAATAGAAGCTGGTGGATAAAAAACACTAATGAAAAATGAATAGAATTAAACAATTTGTATAAAAGATAGTTTATCACTTAATACAATAGTGAGAACGTGTATTCCTTCACCTTGGCAAACACTATTATATACATACTACTTAGTCATTTTTTTTAGTTTCATTTCAGTATTATTATTTATGTACGCACGCTTTAGGTTTTATTTTATATAAACTTTCTCTGTAAATATTAAACTAATAATTTTTTTATATGTATTATTTTTATTGAAATAAATTAAAAATCGATATAATAATAATAATAATAATAATAATAATAATAATAATAATAATAATAATAATAATGATGAATTATAAATTTAATTATTAATAAAAATTATTAATACTAATTTCAATAAGTACAATATTGATTAAAAAACCGTAATAAATCTAAAACGATAGAAATTTTATAGATTATAGATCCTTATCCTCGTTATTAACTATAAAGAATTTTTATGACGTCGAACAATAAAAATAGTAAAATAATAAATTACCCAGTTATAATTACCTGAATAAATTATTATTAATAAAAATATCTTCAAGTATTTATAATGATTCATCTATAAACGCCTACATATTAATGCTCGGAATAAATATATAATAGATTCCCATAAATAGATATTGGAGGAACTTAATTGTCATCATCACAATAATCATCCGTGTCACCATAGTAATTGAATCACGTAATCAAACGTCTTTATTCTTAGAATTTATTTTAAAAACTTGCTTCTTAATATTATATAAAAAAAAATCTGTAAAAAATATTACTAATCAAGGCTGTTTAGATTGCAATTGAATAAACTCAAAATTAATACAATTGAGTAAATATTACATTTTTTGACCTTCGTAATATGAATTTAATAAATATTTCAACTCTCACGATCTATATTTATGTTGACCTCGGGGTTGTATTTATAAAAAAAAATTATAGCTTATTTGTAATATTAAAAAATCTTTTTAATGAAGAATAATTATTTTTTATTTTTATTATAATGAATTTTTTTTTTTTTTTATTTAAAAAATCCTCGATAATGATGAATTATTAACCGAATTAAAAATTTACATTATAAATTGTTTTAAATGTTAATAATAATAATAATAATAATAATATAAAGAGTAATAATAAATTATTATAATTATGATTATTGTAAGTTTAAAAAAATTTGATAATTATTGTTGAACTTGAAAACAAACTTAGTAAATAATTTTATGTTAAAATTCGACATAATAATCAATTTTTGATGTTTTTATTATTATTATAAAGCAGATGACAATTGTAGAAGTAAAATAATTAGTAGCGTTAATTAATACATGACCGTGCTAAGTAGATACTAAAATATAGATTTAATGAGGAATAAGAAAGGCTCCCTTCCTTCTCCAGCATGCATTTAATACTGAATGAGTTGGAGGTAGCAGAAGTGGAAAATTATAAATATATATATGTATACACAAAAGTACTATATTTATATCTATATCTATATAGTATAGACAACAAGACGACTAACGATAATGCAAAGAGAGAAGGGATGTATGGTGAGATCAGTTTTTACTCGAGGTGGAGGCAATACACGAGCACGAGGATATTCAGTGCCTCAGTCAAACTCAGTTATTCAAGATATTTAGTGCATGTGTGGCAAATTTATTTTCGTGCAATTACACTAACATTCCTCCTCCTCGATGACTAAATTTTTAATTTTAAACCTATTTCAATCAAACACAATAATTATTGATTACTAGTAGTGTTTCATTATTATAATTATTATTTAAAAACTTAAAATTAAACACATGGGAACGTTGGACTTAAACGTATGCACATTACACGGTGCATATTACTTTGAGTGATTATTGTTTTCAATTATAAATAAAAAGTTATGATAGAAAGTAATTTTGAAAAAAGTTGAAAAAAAAAAATTATTATTATTTACTACTTAATTAATGTACCAAAGAACATCAGTAGGATTTCGATTTCGACAGAAAAAAAATCGTGAGTGATTAATCTTTTTTTTTTTTTTTTTTTAATGAAGTCAATTGCTGATTAATTTGATAATTTTATGCCTCGTCTAGGTGAATTAGAAGTTTGTAATTTGTAGTCTGAATATTTAATGAGTGAATGTTATTTTTTGTTACATTTTTACTTTAACGATCGACAATCAATAGTGATTACACGGCCCGTAATTTAGATTTTTATAATGGTACGTCTGTTGATGGTGAAAGTCGTAAACATCATTGTGATCATGTATATCATTACGGTCAATGCAAATTTATTCTGAAGCGTTATTGTTGCGAACTAAAGGACAAATTATTGGTTTATCTATTGTTTCAATCGACAGTCGACAATCAACAGTAATTTTATTTTATTTGTTAGTTTTATTGCTGTCAATAGTGAGAGTTACTTTTATTTCAAAGTGTTTATTAATTTACGGTTCATTTTTATTCATTAGATATTTTTGGTTCGATAAATACCTCTTATAGATAAGAATAACTTCAATTGATTTATTTATTTATGATTTTTGATCTATTATCATCGTAAGAGATTGTTTAAAATGGAAAATTATTTTTTAGAGTTTTTACCAAAATTAAATTAACTTTAAATGTGTGATAGTTAAAAATACCTCAAAGATACGATGAAAATTTTTGTTTCTAATTATTAAAAATGACTTTTAAAAAATTCGATGGTTTTTCTTCAGGATAATTATAAATTTATTCTTATTTTAACAACAACATTTTTTAAACATAAATTTGAGAAATTTGAGAAATAATTTTTGAGCATTATATGAATTTTTTTTCGTTGAAAATGAATTTTGAGAAATTGAATAAACAAAACAAAATTAGACAAAAAGTCATTGCGATTTTAGGAGCGTTTTATAGAATAAAATAGCTGAATTATTTTAATATTCGATGTTCAATTAAATAATTAAAAAATTAATTTTATTCGAGAGGTAAAAATTTAAAGAAAAATAGTACCTTGTTTTAATAAAAAATTACAAAGATTTTGCTTCGTAAAAAGATAATTATTCATTTAATATTCAGATAAAACTGTAATAAAATTTAGCTACCTTATTTGGAGTTATTGCTGAGATCTAAGTGTTTTTACCTAATACTTCATTTAATAAAAACACCTGTTTATTCCTATTGAATTAAATTAACAACAGTGATACTTCAAATAGTAACACTTGCAACTTACAAGCCATAAAAAGCAACAACAATATTTAATTAAGCATATAAAAAGAGAATAGAATAATCGTGCTTTAAATTTCAGTCATTGGATACTTTTTTTCTTGATTAAAACTTGCATCATAAAACAGTGGGAATGAATTTTAAGATTTTATTAATATAACTTAGTCTTCAAGTTTTGTTTTTTAATTTTTATTAGTTTAATAAAATTAAATGAATTATTGTTTGATCCGTTGGAAATTTTTATAAAAATTTCCAAATATTCTTATTTAAAATTTAAGTGTAATTAAAAAAAAAATAATAATAATAATAATAACCAATTTAAAATTATTGAAGATTATTAATGTTAACTTAAAATTATTTGTCATTTATTATTATTATTATTATTATTATTATTATTATTATCGCCATGTATGACTAATTATCTAAAAACTTTTTCATCACAAGTACCTAAAAAAAACTTATGATTAATCCTCGAAACAATTTTACCACGAAAGCATAAAATAAAATAACAAACCGAGTCAGATCTATTAATAAAGATTATCATAGCATAAATCATACTATTACATGTTTAACTTGACAAATCAAAAACGGTAAATAAATGATATCGTTAACAAATCCGTTTACTCTACTTTTGTGGATTAGCTTAGCTTTATTATTCAAATAAAATATAAAATGATAATCAACGAATTTGACAGAATCATTTAATCATTTACATTACTTTCACATTAAACTAGTGATTATCATTACCCTACGTTAACAGTTTTATTATTTCCATCTACACCAAATAAAAAGTAAATAAATATAAATAAAACACTTGCGTTGCTTTCTCATCTAATCTCGTACAAAAATAAATCAAATAAAATTAGTCGCGTGTAGTAGATTTGAAGAATAAAGAATAAATGATGAATAACCTCTAGTTAAATGTAAGCGTTCAAAATTTTTTATTAAAAAACCAACGATTAAATTGTATGAAATATTAAATGTGCAGAAGTCATTGTCATTGACTTAAAATTGGTTAAAACCTTGATGTGACCTCAGGTTAAATTTAAATTTAAATAAAACTCGAATTAATAAAACATTTAATTCACGGTAGATGGAATATATCGTTGCTGTTTGGTAGTTTGTGGATATCGAGCTGGGTTTAACTCTTGAAGTGAATATACTTGCTATTATATTTGCTGTTTGCTATTAAATTGCAAAGAGTTGAGGCCCCACAGAGAAAGAAAAAGAGAGAGAGGTCAATTCGAGCGTGGGAATGCGTTCAAAAGTTTACATGAGGGCGGATTTATTTTTTAATTTATATATCTTTATCTTAATAAATATTCTGTGGATTTAATATTATAGATATACATATACATATTATGTCTTGTACGTTTCAATTGTAACATGCTAATGCATTAGCTCATACTCGTAATATACCATAATGCTTGTATATTATTTATATAAATATATGTGAAGTTAAATATTACAATTGTAACATTTGTGAAACTAAAAAAATAAAAAAAAAATAACGCTGGCATTGTATCGGTATCGGTTTGCTTTTAGATTTATTATCTATTATCTGTTAAATATATATATATATATATATATATATATATATATATATATA